CTTTCGTGGACAAGTGTTGTCGGTGCTAGTGGTTATGAAATTCAGCGGTCATCAATCAATAATGATGGAGCTATATTCACTATAATTGCAACTATCTCGAACACATCAACAACTAACTATATTGACAAGTCAAATCTTATCAATGGGCAAACTTACTATTACAAGATTGCCGGCAACAATGGTGAATCTATCGGTCGATTTTCATTAATTGTAAAGGCTGCGGCACATATTTGTCCACCTATGAACTTGCAAGGGATACCGATTTATGGTAGTTGTGCTGTTCTATTGAGATGGGGATCGATAGAGGGAGCAACCGGATACAATATAAAGCGTTCTAGTACATGTGACGCGATTCCTGAAGAAACCATAAAGACTGTATCGGATGGAAGTGTCATTTCATATGTTGATCAAGAACTTGCGGATGGTTGCAGATATTATTATGTAATGACATCAAAAGATGACGCAGATGAGAGTGTATATACATCAAATGTGATATCAGTGGTGCCATCAGTGAATGAACCGACCTTGTCAATGGAAGGTCCGAAAAAGGGAGATAAAGGTGCGGATTTTAGTTAGTTATATAATTGTAGTGAAACATGTGATAACGAAGAACTTTGAAAAGATTTGACTATAGATTTCTCTGCATTTCTCCGTTGTATTATTTATTTGAATGTAAAAATTTTAGGAGATACGAAATCTGAAATCTACGGCGTGTTTCGATGAGCGAATTTCATAAATTCGGGACCATCAGTTTCTTGTAAATAATCTCAATCCCGATTGTCCTACGGGGCGGAACAAACGGGGTTGTTCGTGACTCACGACTATTCTGCAGATTTCTCACTCTAACAAATAGTTATTTATGATACTTTTAACTGATTTCCATAAAAGAAATTCTCATCGAAATGAAATTTTTCGGGCTAGTGTCATGCATAGTGATTTTATTGTTTTTATTTTAGACTATTTTCTAAATATGTACTCTACCATACATCGCCTTCCATGTAAATATGGTAGTCAATGTGAACATATTGATGATAAAGAACATTGCAAAACTTATTCACATCCGGGCTTTTGTATAGAAAAAGGTTATTGTAAAGATATGAGTGAATTACATTTATTAATATATCGTCATGTTCCATTATGTAATGATGGTCTAAGTTGTTCATTATTTATTAAAAATGATAATTCTCATTGTACAACATATCGTCATAGTAAAAATAATTGTGAATTTGGTTTATATTGTATTAATTTTCATAATCATGAACATATTGAAGATAAAAATCATCCATTTAATTCTCCATGTCCATATACACCTTATATGTGTGAATTGCATGATAAATTATTAGAAAATATTGGGGAAATCGAATCTTCAATTTCATCGAATATTAAAATTCATTGTTCTCGATATTCTCATATTTGTCCCTATGGACGGCAATGTACTGATCAATTATATAAACAACATATTAAGTCAATTATCCACATTATTCGATTTGAATGTCCTAATAAAGAGAATTGTCAATTAATTGATGATGAAAATCATTTAAATTCTTATTCTCATCCAGCTATTTGTGATATTCGTCTTTTATGTTCATATAAGAAATTCGATTGTCCTGATCGTTCGAATCTCGAACATATAAAACAATATCGGCATACTGGTCATATCGAACATATTGGTGTGATTGGTTATTTAGGTTTAAATAAAAATATTAATTTTGTTCAAAATCATAATGAAATGATACGAAATATCCAAACTTATCTTCAATCAGCTAAATGGGATCAAACAATTATTACCATTTCCGATGAATTAAAACAATGGATTCGTGCATTACAACCGACTCATCGATGTAATAAACTTATTTTTGAATCAATTCTTGTTCATGGTCATATTATGAGTAGAGATCATATGAATTCATTAACAAAATCAGATTCAGTAGCTAAAGCTGCTAAACATCATACTAAAATAAAACGTATTTTTGATAAAATTAACAATCCTAGTGTTAAACAAACATGTGAAGAATATATTAAAATATTAGTTGAAATTCAATTTAATAAAATTGGTAAGACAAAAACTGTTTCGGAATCATCAGAAGACGAATTATTAAAATCAAAATTACAAGAAATAAAGTTAAAACTGAATAGATTAGATAGATATATAACAAATGAAGACATTGAAACTATTCGAGAATTAACAATTGAAATAGCTGAAGCATCAATTGGACTTCATTCAAATCCAACTGGTATTGGATTTGGACCTGATCAAACTTTAGGAACAAATAAACATGTTTTTGGAATTCTTGGTCCTCATACTGGCTATTATTATGGAGATATTATTCTTGTCTTTCGCCATGAACTCATGTATCATCCTGATAGTAATTTTTCCATTCAAGCAGCAACAACATTTGGACAAAGTAAAAATGCATATAAATTTCGACCATGGCTTACAGATCCAGGTTCTCCTGAAACACGTATTGAACATTTTCATCGAAATAAATTACATTGTTCGATACCAGGATATGAAGATGCTGCTGCTTATGAACTTATGGCATTGACAGGATTACCAAGAAAATCTCTAACAAATATTGATCTTAAAGCTATTCAACAACGATGGCTCAATATTGATTCACATTGTGTTTTCGAAGCACATTTACCTCAATTAATACCATTAGATTATATTGATCGTGTTTATATTGCTAAAACAACATTTGATTCTCTTTCAACATCTGCTCAACAATCGGCTAAAACAATCTTTGCTGATGCACTTTGCATAACAGATCATCAAATTGATATTAGTATTAAACCTGCTGGACTTCATCAACCATTAGATCCAACACGTATTCCATATCAATCATTTGTGGTTAAAGAAATGTGTCAAACAATTGAAAATCGAACTAAGTCATTTCCATTAATTGAAGGTACTATTATGACATTACCGGCTTATTATTTTAAAGTTCATATTATTCTACCTATTACAATATCACAATCAATAAGTCAAATAGGATCAACAGATTCTTCGAATAATTTCGTATACATTTATTGGAAAACATTTAGTGGAAATATGATGTTAACATTAACGGATCAAATTATTGATACAAAGATTGAACAGAAAGATCTTCAATGTCTTACTTGTTATATTGCTCCATGGCCATCAAAGAATATTGTGAGAAATACAACACAATCTATGCCTGAATATCATGAAGATTATTCATATATCAGTAATCATCATCCGGAGATGCATGATATTATTTTACATGACAAAGATTTTAAAGCAAGTTCAAATTCATTTCATCGTGGATCTAATATTGATGATTTTATTATTTATAATCTTATCCTTGATCGAACGACAAATCAAGTTACTTTAGCAATCGTTGGACCAAATTGTTTATATAGTCATCATAAACTTAGTTATACATTCAATAAAACAGAACTTGATCTAAATAATCTTGAATTTATTCAAATAAGTTCAGGTTCACATACAGTACCTATACGAAATCTGATTATTCGACATGCACCTATTGAACAACTTCATCCATTGATTGACTTCGATTTTATTAAAACCAATTTTACTTCTTCTGGAATCTCTACTGGAATGTCCATCGTAGATTCAAAAAAGTTATCTAATCTATGTCCTAATTCAATTCATTGTCTACTTCTATATTCTGATTCGGAAGAAGGAAGAAAACACAATTCACAATATACTCATCTATGTCATTTTTCAGAAAAATGTCGTAATAAAGCAATTGAACCACATCTTATTCATCTTCCACATAAAATTCCTATGTGTCAATATAATAATCAATGTCAACAACTTGCAGACTCTATTCATCGTGCACAATTTCGTCATTCTAATTTGCCAGATTATCTCGTTCCCTGTCGATATCAACAAAATTGTAGAACGAAAACGCCAGAACATCGAATTAAATATTCTCATGGAGAAAATATACCATTACCATCATCTATAGGTATATATAGTACAACTAATCTAAAGAATTATTCCATAAATAAAATTTTTCTTTTTTTTATTTAAAAATATCTATAGAACAAACACATGACAAAACTGATGACAATTCATAATGTAATGGTTGCAGATTATTCAATGGACTAATTTTATATTTATTTATATGCATTTTCTTCTTTAAAAAGTGAAATAAATTTTTTCCCGATATTTAGACAGAAAACGTTAGTTCTATAGGACTGCTTCAGCTTATAAGCTCAGATCAAGGTCCACACATATGCAACGTATAGTAAGCATGAGTTTTTTGTTTCCTGATATGAGGGTGAGGATGAATATCATGCTCTTACACTCTCGTTCACCCTTATCTCAAATACTAATAGAACAACAATTGATGAAAATCTCAATGTTGAACATGAAAAGATCTTCGAGACAATGATCAGCCTAACAAGGATTCTTCAAATACTGAACAACAATATTGAAAGTGCAAAGCTTTCGCAACATAACAGTTGACTCAACATTCATTATAACTGATTGTGATTAAGTGAAAGACTTTTTGAGTAAGATATCGTTTTTAACTCTCAGGAAACAATTTGCGGTAGAAAATTATCAATACTTAAGAGTAACAAATTGAGTTTTTGTTCATTCGAACAAAGGATGAATCAAGTCATCTATTGAGAAATCTTTTTGTGTAAAAAGACATTGAATATGTTTCCATCATAGGCAAATTTAGTAATAACTATCGATGTGACGTATCTTCTATGAACACATTCTAAATGCATTGATGGATCATATTCACATTCTTTCCAGATCAAAGCATCGAGATAGAGTTTGTAAACAAGCCGTTCGTATAGATGTGTATATCCATCGATAGGTAGAATTTCTACTAGTTTTCTGTACATCACTGAAACATCTCCAAGAAAAAAGAACTGATAGCGAGAAATAATGTGCATAATTGCATGTTAGATTTCACCGATGAACAATGATGGAAAGATTCCTAAAAAACTGAACACGGTATTTTGTTAGATTCCAGAAGACTTTGTGAGAGCTATTTTTAGACAGTGACATCTTAAGTAGCACAAAATTCTCAGCAAAATGAGGGGTCGCCCAGTTTTCTACGACCTTCCATTAAAAAGTTACAAGCATCACAAAAATAATGAAAAAGGCGTTTTTTAGTTGATTTTTAGCGATTTTTTTGAGAAATTTCGTTTTTTCATGATTTTTGTGATGCTTGTAACTTTTTAATGGAAGGTCGTAGAAAACTGGGCGACCCCTCATTTTGCTGAGAATTTTGTGCTATTTAAGATGTCACTGTCTAAAAATAGCTCTCACAAAGTCTTCTGGAACCTAACAAAATACTGTGTTCAGTTTTTTAGCAATCTTTCCATCATTGTTCATCGGTGAAATCTTGTTATAAAGTTTATTTGATAGAAAACTCTATTGGCTATTAAAATCACTATTTGGATTTGACCTAGGTGCTTAACATTATGAAAAAAAAAAAAAAAATTGTTGTTTCTAAACTTTTTTCCACCACTTTAAGACAAGTAATCACATTCTTCGTAACGGTAGCATGATTGTATAACATTATCAGTGTTTCCTGATTGTTCGACAGCACAAACAAAAATCAGTTGAAATTCATGAGAAAAAAAATAATCTAGAAAACGAGGAGGAACACTCGTATCTTTTGAAAATATTGTGATTAATTATATTACAATAGAAATCGCATATCTCTTTTATCGAAATGTAAACAGAACGTATGTTTTTTCTCAACTTATCTTCTTACATATTATTAACCGATTCTTGTTTGAAACGATTAAATCAAATTTTAAACAAAAACAATAAAAACGATCCAGTGTTAATTCAATTGTAAATATATTTTATCATTTATATGTTCATTTCTATACTGATGAAGTATTTGTTTATCATCAGTAATTGTCTGTAGTATTTTTTTCATATCATCATTTACTTTCCATATCCATAAACATAATGAAAAAAGATCTTTAAGAGAGCATTGAGGACCATGTCAGATATCGAGGCAACGGTCAAAATTTTAATTTTTCATTTGATATTCTCATCTTGTTCAGCATCATCGAAAACCTCTAAATCAAAATTTTTAGCGCATTTGGTGGAGCTTTTGAAAAGTTAGCTCAATTTTACTATCAAGGTCTCATAAGGACTAAAAAAAAAGATATTTGGAGAATATTTTCAAAAACCGATTCTACAAAGTTGAGGTTTTCTTGAATGACAAAAATAAACAAAATTTTTTGTGTAATATACCAAAAGATAGAGTATAGAAAGCTGAACAAAATTACCTATTTACATATAATATTTTCATGGAGTGATCAACAGTTATCTATGAAACACTTCATGACTAGTCATTTTTTTGAGTGAAAAATAAGTCACTTTTTTGCAGTGAATTACAGTATATCAGCTGCGGGTGTGGGTGTGGGTGATCTGCTTTCATCGACATCCACACTCACATCCTTCATTTGAAAGTGATCAAGTCAAGAAGAAATTTGATGATGATTTTGAGTTTTTGTAGTAGGTTTCGAATTTCTAAAGTACAGCTTAATTACGTTATTTTTGACAGTTTTTTTTAATTTCGTTTGCTGTATTTATACAAAACCTCGAAAGTTTCTTGTTTTGATATAATTGAATAGAGCAACAATTACTCTATTGAATTATATAGTTTCCGTTTTGTTTAAATTACATCTTGTGCAAAAATTTGATAAATTCTGCGAAGCGCTAAAACGAAAGTTTTGTACGCTCATATTTCTACGAGACTAAATCAATTAACAATGAAAATTGCTTGAGATCGAAGAGATTCATTAATCTTAAATGTTCAGAAAATATTAAACAAAAGTTATTCGAAATTGAGGACAAAATATAATTTTACTGTTAGAAATATTGATCCATTTTCGTACTCATGAGGCACCAAGTTTATATTACCTTTAGCAAAAATTCACTTACAAGATTCGATATAAATCTAATAAAAATTATATAAATCAATAGAAAAATCAACTCTCATATTCAGATATATGAGACGGAAAAAATTTTCGATATTTGCACAACCAAAATTTCGTTGAAGAAAAGCTAAAAAGCATGCATGAAAAAAAGTACACGCAAAAATTTGTTAGAAATTCACCACATATATTGTGAAGATCAGAAGTAAATCCAAACAAAAAAATATTTAGTTCAGAAGAGAGACGAATGGTCTATTAGTCTATATAAAATTAAAAACGTTTCAGTACCCTAGTAAATAGTAGCCATAGAAAAAAATTACTTGAGACATAATCTGAAAATGGATGAATGAAAAATCTTTTTTTTTCGTTATTTTTCGAAATTTATCAAATTTTTGAGCAAAATGTAAAGTAAACGATATGAAAACTATATGGTTCGATAGAATAATTGATGCTCTATCCAATGATATCAAAACAAAAAAGTTCCGAGGTTATCTATAATATAACAAACTGGACAAAACGGTCAAAAATAACATAATCAAGTTGTGGGTGGGTGTGGGTGTGGGTGTGGGCGGGGTGTGTGTGTCCGGTGTGGATGTGGGTGTGGGTGTGGGTGTGGTTGTGGGTGTGGGTGTGGGTGGGTGGGTGTTGGTGGGGTGTGTGGATGTGAATGTGGGCGTGCGCCCTCCCCCCCCCCCCCCCCCCCCCCCCCCACCCACATCCACACCTACACCCACCTACTGCATCGCGATGATATTCAAACAAAAGTTTTGAATTTCGTTCTTGTGACTGTAATGTACTCGAACTGTTGCTACTAATCAATGAGATTCGTTGACTCTCAGAGTTTTATATTTGTAGACACTTAAATTCCCATACAAATTCCTCCATTTGAGGGTGTGGGTGTAGGTATTAGTAGAGAGAACACCCACACTCACACCCACCCACCCTTTATAGGGCCTTTATAGGATCATTATAGGGTATGGACAGGCTAATGGACACTTTGATCATCAGAAATTTACTCTACGACAGCGTTGTTGGGAAAAATGATTATTATATCATTTAATAACTCAACAAGCTCTACAAATTGACATTAATAAAACTTTGAAAGCGATTGATCAGCACGTTGCCTTCCCTCGTGAGCATTCGCCACCAAGTATTCTGAGATTTGATCTCCAATCCATTCAGCAAGTGGGTATCCTCTTCCCCTCATGTCCTAACAATCTATGGAAACATCATCTAGTCCATAGTCAGTAGAATGATCACAATAGGTATTCAGATGGGTATACCAGATGGTAATAATGTAATCAACTAGTTTTCGAGCTCGTGATGCCCAGTTCCAATGAATGGCTCCGATACGATGAGACGGAGTTGATGCTGAAACTGCAAACTTTTCATGTGCCTCATTGCGTTTTTTGATCAACTGAACCAGTTCATCGTTGATAATATCTCTGGCATCGGTTAATAGACCGACAATAAAATATCCTAAGATAATAGTGATGAAGACAACATTCATTTTGTTATGTCTTACTGCTGGCAAAAGTGCTGTTCGCACGTATGTTGCTTTGGTAAATGCTGTGAAATATGAAGTTACGCCCCAATTTTATTCAAATGTTTTATCAATATCTAGTGTCTATTGCATCTATGTGACTATCAAATATTGTAACTATGTGAGAATGAGCAGTTGCCATCAAAATGTGAAAAAAGCAGTAAAACGAAAGATGTGAAAATCGAACAGTATGTAGGTGAAATAGTAGAAACAAGTAGGAATAGATTGGTGCCTGTAGTTCCACAACTTAGAAAAAATTGGAAATAATGAAGGGCAAATCATGTCCAATTTGTATCTTTATATAGACAAAAAAA